TTTTCACCGTAAATCATCAAGTTTCGTATTGTGTTGGCGCGCGAGCTGAACTCAATATTTCCTGCGATATTCAGGAGCTTTGTTGTTCCTAAATTTACAGACTTCTTGGTGATATATCATTTTATATCACACGGGTTCATGGTGTAAGATCCATCATCGACTTACAAAAAACTAAATATTTAAAATCCAAAAAGTTATGAACAACTAAACAAAAATAACCAACATCCACTACCAATTATAAAAAGAAACAAATATTTTCAATTTGGAATTGAGGTTATACGTGAATTTTCCAAAAAAATAAAAGAAAATCGTTGTTTTATTGATTCATGCTACACGAATTGAAGTTAATAATTTGCGCTCATGTATTGGTATAACAAATAACTCGATGGCCCGTAAATCTGTCTAGTTACAGCGCGCAAAAAGGAAACACGAGGACGAGGATGTCTGCAAAGTCTACACACCGAATATCCACTGTCGCGCACACTATCTGACGCGGTACATAATAAATCATAGATAATCCCTCACAACATCAACGATGTTGTGCGGTGATGTGCTCGCATGAGTACAGGGTGAATCACGCACGTTAGTCGAGACATGACCAGTGCATGTAATGGCCATGTCGGTCAATTTACCTCGAGCTAGACAAGTGATGCATGTGAAATTACCCTGCTATCACATCTTGGTCGATAGATAAACACACATTTCATTTTAATTAATCGAAAAACAAAAAATCTTCAAAGCATAATGAAATAAAATGGTAAACATTAATAAATCTTGACGAGATTAAAGAGAATAAAGCGAAAAAAAACCGCTTTGTGCAGCGATATTTAATTAACAACCTGTTCGATCGTTTTTTGTTCGGCAGGCATGCAGTAGAAATTTTCACACGTAAGGTATTGGAAGCGACCATCAATTATGTGCCACATCATCGACGCTAATGCAATCGTCGTCGTATCCATCGTATATAACGTGATTAAACATTGTGCGCTCACTGGGCGCTGGGTGCAGACTATACGTCCGCCGTTCGTTCGATAATTGCTAATTGATCAGCCAGCCGAGTCGGGCTGCGACCGGGCTGCTGGTTCAGTTGCACCCGCCATGCGTGCATTTGTGTCCAATGACGCTCACCGTTAGATTTCAAACGCGTCCAAGATATTCGAAGCGGTGCACACATTGTGCACCCGTCAGTGCGTGCAGATAATTGATTGTAATTTATGTTCCAAATGTCATCGATAAAAGTCCAAAATGTCGCCCATTGCCGCATTGGGCAATATAATCGTGAAATATTTAATTTATTAGTATTTATAACACATTTTAGTATATTAATATGTAGTTTCATAAGGAAGCGATGATTAAAGGATGTGTCTAATGCGTTTAATGCTAAATTATTGTTCGGTAATCAACCTGAAGTGTTCATCAAGCGCACGCGTGAGAATGGCTTTACGCTTTGAATATATTGGGGTTGAAATCACATCCGCAACGTTTCAGATTACAGCGTACACAATTCCGATAACACGTTGCGGTGTAACCGAAGCAAACCTAATCAAATTGCAGTTAATCAATTAGAATGTGCGTCTCCATGGATAATACACGATTAGGGGAAACAAACACTTGAAAATTTATTTAATATTTTCTGCATATACCGAAGAATAATAATCATCTACTTCCTAGAAATGATTGATAATAGTAATTTAGATATTTTATGCGATATATGACCTAGTAGTACTATGTACGGAAAAATATGTGTTATGATTACTTATATTGTAGTATTATTATGGTTTACCTAAATACTACTATTATTTCTATCAATATATTATTATTACAATGCATAGAATGTAATTTTACTAGTTTTCAGAAGGTAGAATCTTATTGTCATTCTAAAGTGAGTAAATAAATACAGAAATCTACTATCCTACACAATCCAGCATAAATCATCACATTTTGCTCTGTGGTGTCTGAATGTCGATTGGAAATGTCAAAAAAATGTTGACCCTGTTTTCCTTTCGCTTTTTTTTATTTTTTTCCACGCCTCAACGCTATCGCTATCGATTCCCGGCAACAAATTTATATCAAATTGACCCAATTTTCCGCATAAATAAAAATGGTCTACCCGCAGTCGTTCATAAATATACATAATGAAAATCGAAAATGAATTTGCGCAATGAATACAGTCCAAGTTTCCACTTTCTACCATTTCCAAAGAAAAGTTAGTCAACAGAAGTTGAATATTTTAAGAAAACGAAGAAAACAATACAAATATAATTCAAAAAATTAATAAAATCACCAACAGCTGATTTTCTTTCAAAGAATTTGCAAATAATACACATAATGAAACTAAATATTCCCAAAATTTCAGCTTTCAAAACTATTCCATCAATTTATCATATAACAAACTTTTGGCAAACATATTAGTTCCATAACAATTCGAGTTCGAACCGATGTAGAAATTTTGCAAGTCACACTCAGAAATAGCACCACCCCGAAACCCAAGTAGCCCATCGAAACGAATATAAGAAAAATCACAAAACCCAAACACGTCCCCTTCGAGATAATGTCATAACGACAACAAGTCGTCGTCCTGGCCCGAAAAAGGTATTTCGGCGGTCTTTCGCAGGATGTCATGCGAGGCACATAAATTATCCCCGCTCGGCGCGGATAAACCGCCGGCCCGCGTCCGATGATGGGCACAGGTCACGGCAATGAAAAATATTCGAGAATCGCCGCGACGATCGCAATTTCCTCGTTCGGGTCGAGAGTTATTGACCACTTCTTCTTGCCGTTTATTCACCTTACTACTCGCTTCACTGTCGGTGGTAGAATTGATGACAGAAAACGCACAAAGCACGAAATATTCCTGTTTAATTTACTCTACCTTGCGTTTAAAGTTACACATTTTCATATAGTGTACCACCGGAAAATTTCGCATAAGTTTCTTGGAAAATTCCGGGTGAATTCTTGGCTGTAATTTAGTGCGACAAGCAAGTTGCCGTCTGGCGTGCGCTCTCGTTAATGTTTTAGCGTCGTTTCTTAAGTAAATTAAGAACCGTAGAACAATATTAAGTTATTTCCTTGTTGCCAGAGAGTCTAACTACACTTTTCGAGCAATTATTTTTGTTTCATTGCACATTCAGGCGTTAAACTTTTAATAACTTCTCACATTAACACTAATCTTTACTTAACGATCTTTTGGTGACCAAATATTAACTTTTTTTGCTATGATCTAACAGAATTTTAGGTGAAACCTCGAAACGTAAAGTTTATTAGATTAGATCGTATAAAATTCTTGCTTAATCAAATTTAGATAGCGAAATAAGCGTCATTGGAAACGAATCGAGATCCTACAATTTTCTTCCCCTTTTCGTTACCTTCTCCGGTTCTAACTTACCACATTTCCCACACTCGTTCTGCTCTCCAGCGTCACATAGTTCCGCATTGCAAAGAAAAAAACGAAAAAACCAACGAGACGCGGTCGAAGCGGTTGGGTTGCAATTCTTTTTTGTTGTTTTTCTTTCGGGTGCGGTTTTCCATTGCCAGGACGCATCTATGTGCGCGTTTGATCCGTTCTCAACTAGTTTTCCACTCTGGTGTCTCTGTTCTCCTATAACTAGCGCCTCGGCTGGCGAAACGACGGAAAGATTTTATCGGCGCGAATTTAAAAGCGATTTACTTTGCTTTTTACTAAACGCCGCGCCGCCATAACCATTACTTGCTTCACAGGCGCAATTTCGATTTCCGATTCGAGGAAATCCACGCTCTGTTTTCGTACAACACTTGTAGATGCAGTGTGCAAATGTTTGGAAAAATACATTTTTCATTTAATAAAATGTTTTATACCCGACAGCAACCATTTCATACCGGTTTTAATAATCAACGTAAAGTACATTTCAGCGCAATGGAAACACCTCTGAGGAAACCGTATTAAAACGCGCGCAGCTTGCAGAAATTTGTGACACAAACGACTGCTCACTTGTTCAATCAATACTTGAAACTTGAATACGAATACAAATACCTCAGCAAATTGGCATATTTGATTAAATCATACACTAAAATTGAATATTTAACGTCGGAATTACGAGCCACGCTGCGTGTGCGACTAACGCGGTCCTTTTAATGTTTAGCGTTAAAGTGGCGTCGTAAAATTGACTGAGAAGAGAGAATCGCGCATTATCCGACCGTAAAAGGCCGAATGTTTGGCGTAATCATTACACCATGTGAACTACTGAAACGAGCAAACGACCAATAAAACGCCATTTGGAGCTTATTGTACGCATAACATGATTAAGCTTCAAGAATAAACATTGTCACGACCAAAATTGATTCTATAAATAAATCATGATTTTCAAACCGACCAAATGTAGCAAATAATAATTCTGACCTTTTCAAAGCTTTCTCTTGAATGGATTTGTCTGTTAAAGTTTATTATCAGTGGCAATGAGTGAATAGACGACTTTGGAAGCGTTTTCGTATCCTGCAGATGTGATTGGAAGGATGGCTATAACTACGCCGGTCCGCAGCTCATCGAGATAAGAAACGTGTCCGCTTCATCCGGCGAATAAAAAAAGCGAAGCCGTAAGGAAAATTTCGACACACGTCCTAACAGATGAGTGGGCGCGAGCGGGACATGCAGGAACCCCCGATTCGCTCGTACTTTCAACACTTTTACATCGCCGCGTATGGCGCGCACGGTATTTTTATTCAGGATGTAGAGCTTGACGTACGGCCCGCCGCCGAATTATACGAGGCAGTTACCGAGGGGATTGTGCGCTGCGAATATATAACCGTCATAAAACACCCCTCGGCCGCGGCGGCGCGCACCCAACGTATTATGCGCGTGTCGTTTTCATCTTTCCGTTGTCTCATATCGCGTGTTTCTAGCAAAAAATCGAGCATCTTTGAGAGGCGAGCGAGTCCATCAAGCATTTTCTACATCCCTCCTCTTGTCTAACGTGTTAAGTGCCCATTGCGAGAACCGTCAGGCAAAAATATAATATTCCACTCACCTTTTTACGCCGCCATCAACAAACATCAGAGACGCCTTCTTCTCCCCGTCCACGGACAGCAGACAATGAATTATTACCATCCTGTACATCCATCATTGGTCGGCCAATTGTGACGTTCAAAGTGTTCAATGTCATAAATGAGCTAAGCCGGATTATCCCGAACTATTTACATCGCACACGCGTTACACTGGCTAATAGAATTAAATGCACAAGCGACGGCAAAGGCGGCGGCGTTGAGACGTTTCCGTCGGCGTCAATAGCGAGAGGAGGCAAAGGCAGCGCGAACGTCGAGGACTTGGCGGCGACGGCGGCGACAAAACGGCATTACAATATTGTACGCGACGATCGCGCGCTTGTTGCACTATTTATACAGTGTCTCTTCACTCCCTGCAAGCAAACAAAACGTAATTAGTGCAACATGTAAACATCGGATAAACTGATTCGCTAATGTTGGCAGTAATGTGATTAATTTATGTTTACATTCAGTGTCGTGAAACTTTGTTTCACCAACGATCAGCGCGCAAATACTTTTTAATCGCAGCGTAACTTTCTCGCTGCCCAAATGTTCAAAGTTGTAAATCTAGCATTAACTTTTTTAATCTCGGAACTTCGTTAATAACACTCTGCAAATTTACTTTGCACACCTTAAATATTTACCAATTTTCTAATCATACTATAGGATTTATATATATTTTTTTCATCTTTTTCATTTATCCAAAGTCTTGTATTAAAGATACGCGTAAAATAGTATTCAGAGTTCAATAAACTCAAGTTATAAAAATAATATTTTTCACACTGGATGCATACTATATTAACCAAATAATACAAACTTTTATTTTTTAGTATTAAGATATTTTCGCCATTAATAAATAACTTATCACGAGTTTAAAAATTCAGATGGCTTCCGTTCTACGAGACGATAATAAATAATAAATATTAAGTCTCAAGGCTTTTCACAACATTTTCCGGCTGTCGGAAACTTCTGGTCGCTTATGTGCACATTTTTGGTGTGTATTTTCCAGCGGAGTGAAAAGTTCGATTAACTTCCATACGCCAAACTTTTAAACATCGATTTCAAAAGAACCTGACTGCCGAAGCTAATGTGTTTTGTATTCGAGCATTTAAAACTTCAGTTATTATTTAAACTTGCTTACTTGTAAAATAAATGTACCAAACATTTTGAACGATACAAAATATTATGATTTGATCGTAAGTAGGTGGAACACACATGAACTTTTTGTTTACAAAAACAAATTTTTATAAAGCGAATAAATGTCTTGTTTAATGTCTAGCCACTATAACGTTGTCGTTATCTATCCATTTAATTTGCATAATTACTTTGACTAACAAAAGCGTGTACATCCCTAACAATAGAATTCCTACACGTGTTCTCGGCTCCATTGTGTTCCGGTTTCGCACAGCCCGCACTACCACTACATTAAATAACAGTAATATAAAAATTCCTCGACCTCTCAAGGTCTTCTTCAGCGAACACGACGTCAGCCTCGTTTCATAACTCCTGAACCCTCTGCCTGTGCTCCACTCTAATCTCCGCAGTCCTACACGCTCGACGTGGTCGCTCTGCGTCTCCAATGCTGGCGTTTGCTTCCGCTCCAGCATTCCCCGCCTCCAAGCCACATATATTGTCGGCAGAATAGACATACCACAGAGCAAATTAGATCCTGCTAGCCACTGTCTTGAGGTCGGTGGCGTACGAGTACACGCCTGCTGAGCATCAAATACCTTCGCGTGCGCTACCGACCATGGTTCACATATCTCTGGTGCGGGCGAAGAGAACAACTCCCTGGTTTATTTGATTGCATGTTGTGTAAGTGTATGTGTGTGAATGTATTTGTGGAGCAGTCAGAGCAGGCAGAGGTGATGTGTGTCATGTTCCACTGAATTCAACGGAATGGATGCAAAGAATATTAAAATCTCGTGAATTTACGACTTTTTTTAAAATTATAAATAAGATATTATAAAATAATGTAATAAAATATAATATTTTATGTGTTGGCATAAAAATTAATGCATTTTATTACGTAATAACAAGCCAAGCAAGCAATATGCCTCTACTCGTCTGCAAAACCTACCAACACATCGTAAAACTATCCAAACATATAAATTCCGGCATTTCGCGAATACTAAATATTATTTTTGAAGCGCCAATAATTTGCATTAATACAATAATCAAACAATAGTAATAATTGAACATTTTTCAAGTTGTCATGTTGGTTTATTCGGTTTAGGCGCTCTGCTGTTCGTTGTTGGTATTCCGTGTACACAAACAGCGCACAAAAAGCAACATTAATAACGCCAGACAGCTTGAATTGCGCGCGTGAATATATTAATCGAAGCGAATTTATTTTAATTGCGCATTTCGACGTCTCGCAAAGTCGAAAATTATGTCCGTTTAATAAAATAGTCGCAATGCGTCCTCCCCGTGTGCCGATAATTGCAATAAATTTCACGATCGCCAATTGCAATGCGGTTTAATTAGTTTGAATAATATAAAATAACTCACCGTGTTTTAGTTGCCAGCGTCCAAAATTATGCCGTGCAAACAAACATCCTGCAACAAAGAAATAATATTTAATATATTTATTATTTTTAATTTATCATATACTTGTGATGGTCGAGATGCGTAAATATGAATGTAAATGAAGATAAATGAAATTCACCCATCGCGATAAAGTAAATATCATTTCGGCGTTTGTATTTTTACGGTTTTGAACTTTCCATTCGCCATTGGACATTACTTCCACATTGCTTCGTTCGGAAACTTTTAGTAATCATAACAAAGTGACAAAGTTAGCTCTTACGCGCCGAACTTCTTATCTCGAAAGCTATACTTTTAAAATACAATAAACACTCGAGTCCTATCTATGACCTAAATATTATATTCTCAAACGAATGAAAATGGCGACATTTTTTAAATATTCCCGTAATATTAAAACAAAAGACCGCCTCTATAAATATCTTTTTACACAATTAATTTACAATGAATGTATCTATTATTATAGGCATATCGTAGATCACTACCTATTTTTTATCCATTTACGTTGACACATTGATTGCCTAATGCACTCTATCGCATTGACGTTATTGACGCATTACGCTAGTACTAAAATAGAAGTTTTCACTGATCGACGTCGGTGGATTGCACAGAAAACAAAGCAAAAAGCATCGAAAAGTCATAAATCATTATGTTTTTATGTTTCATTGTTTTTTTCCATACGCTCCGCCTGTTGTTGTGAGCTTCGATTGAAATCATTACTGTGCTTCGATTTATTTTCTTCGAGTTGAGTGACTTAATATTCATATTGCACTAATGTACAAAACTTGTTTGAAAATAAAAAGAATAATTTATTTATAGACGTGTATGTCTATTTTTATTGAAAAGTTTATAAAATTGAAATAATGGTGGAGGCGCCGGTATGGTGGAGGCGCAATTGATTTGTAAAATTTAATTATGTTTTTTATACGGGTTTGAAACATATTGTGACAGATTCATAGTAAGTCTGTGTCAGAAATAGATGTTCGAAAGCGGGCAATTTATCGCCCGTCGCGGTGTTGTCGCACCCGTATAGTTTTTTTTTTGCAAAAACCCTTGCTATAGCAATAATTTTCCCGCACATCAACCCGAGACAAATATGTTCGCATCACAAAATATTGCCCCCGATGTACACATTTCCATTTTCTTTTTCGTTTCGCTTTTTTCTATTTCCCCTGCAGATTTGGCAACACCGAATTTGAATATGCGTGCTCACCCCATTAAGTGGAAGTCGTATGTAGCATACGCGTAAACAGACATAGGTATGCGCGAAATTTATGGGTTGTAGCAATCGATGGCGGCTTGATAATCAAAAAAGGGGGTTAAATGCGGTTGGTTTGGTCGTATTGCTGCTACTTCAGCTAGTAAATCCGTGTCGCACGCGTGAAACTTGCAAACGCTACTAAAAAAAGTGAATTTCAGTTTTTCGCTGCGGCGCGCATAAATTTACGCAAACGTTCGCGTATCTGCGTAAAACCCGGAGCATTTCGTTCGTTGCATATGTTTCAGGACGTTAAGTAATTTACGACCAACCGACTGGCATAAATTCGTAAGTGCATCGAACTTTTGTACTTCGGCTCGTTTGGCACACAAAACCAGGCGTGATTTTTCTTGCATACCGGATACATAGAGCTGAATTTTCCATTGCGAAAAAATGCTCAGCGTTCTTTGCTACCGGATGAAGGGGCTTGCATGGTATGAGCGCATATTTTCGCACACGTCCGTTAGAAAACCACAAAAATGCTCGTAAAATGCGACCGGCCATAAATTTATTTAACGCTGCTTATACGAGCAATGCATCTGTATCATCACATACTATAATAGGCGATGCACAGATGCACAGCGGTTGGTTGCAAACTTTCTTGAGTTATGGCGTCACTGCAACCGACGGGGTTATTGCCAATAGTGGCTGAATGTCGATTCTCAGTGGCACGTAGAGATCTGGGTCGTGGTGCGTTAATATAATAATGGTCATAAAATGGAAATGTGAAAACTTAATTTTGCCACATGCATTAAATACAGGAATACGTGTTGAGTACTTTTGTAGTGCTCGCAAAGATATCAAATAGCAGATGTTGAGCTCATAACGCTGAATTACCTATGCTCCTAGTAGCGGTCATATTTCTGTAAATTTCGGTCATCTGAGAGTTAAACACTCATTTTTATATTCTCATATTCAGTAATCTTATACAATATTTGTGCTTTTTTTGTTTGTTTTCGTAAATGATTTAATTTAATATAAAAAAATAATTAAAACTTGTAAAAACATACAAAAACACGTGTAAACAATAGGTAATGCATGTTTGAAACAAAATTGCAAAATCCCTTCGGTTGTTATTTATGAATGTATCCCTTCGCGGAGAAGCAAACAGTATGTTCATGGAAATTTCACAATAAACTCTCGGCCATAACGTAAACACAAACAATATCCATTTCGTAAATTAATAATAAACGCAAAACTCCCTCGCCAAGAAACGCTATTTTCCCCTAATTATACATTCATTAACCGTAACGCACCGAGAGGCATGTAACAAGCCGAAATACGCGCGAGCGCAACCACCTCCACCCACCAACGCCAGTTGATGCTGTAAGCTGCAACTCAACAACTGTGTTTGCCGCCCCTCAACCGCCCAGCCCAGCTCGACAGCCCTCAATTTTATCGATCTTTAATTTCCAGCACGCAAAATTACTCTCCACTTTATTTTAATGTTTATTTTGGGCCCGCCGGGCTATTTTTCACTTTGGTTGCACTTAATGATAATAACTAAAGTTTTAAACGAATTATAATCATGGCGGCTATTTTGTGGAAGTATAAAAATGAGTATATACTCCAACAACATCCGCTAATAACAGTGAACTTTAAAATCAATTTCATTTACGATGAAAAAATGTTATAGTGTTTTTGTTTACTCTGTTTTGAAAAAATTGAAAAAAGTCGGTCAGTACACAAATTGGCAAAAAACAAACAAGCGCACTGTATAATCAGCCGAGTATGTGTGCACGGCATAAACCGTGTTTGTTCAAAATTTGATGTGTGTATACATAACGTATTGTGCAATCAATGAAACAAACGATAGAAAAACATTAATTTATTCAATTAAATTCCGTAAAACGCAATTTATCCATTTTATATTCTAGATCTAATAATATATAATTCATCTGTCCTAAATAATTATTCCATTAGATTGAAATGTCATAAAGTTTATCGTCCTGATAAATTATGAACATTATGGTGTTTGATTGGTAATAAAGACATAGTCGTTGTGATGCGCGCTGCAAGTACGATGGCCACTAAAGTGCAATTAAATTAATCATTAATTTATTCGTCCCGGTAATCGGCGGTAAGCGTGCGTACAGCTCTTGAATCAGCCCCGAGTGTGTGCATGTTACTACCCCTAATGGGCTAATGGGTATGCGTTACGCGTTGCTAATAACGAACGCTGACGAACACAGCACCGCGCCACTCGACGTGATTAATTGTTGCCGCCCACGGTTGAAAATTGCGTTCGATTATGATTGATATGTTTGTATATTGTGTTTACATGTGGTTTAAGAAGAAATGTGCTGGGTTTAGTGCGCTACATCATTTTCCGGCGGAAATTACCTTTTTGCATAAAATTATTGGCAGTATTAATCATTTATTGCTATGTGTAACAATTAAAATCATTTTTATTCAACCGCACGTTTCGGACTACGAACTCGTAAATTGATTTATGAAATATAATCAATTAAAAATGTATTTATAAATTTTAACCTTTTAAAATAAAATAATTTTGAGAACTAAATAAAACAATGCTTTTATTGTGTTGCAAAACGTAATTAAAGTAACATTTGTCGTTAAATCTATTTAGCATAGTTGGTAATTTATTTATTCAAAACCGAATGTGCGACAAGGAATTTGCAACGAAATCGAATTTTAATCAAATCCCGAAGCAAAGTTATCACCCCGCCGACGTTGTAGAAGTACATGCTGGAACAACTAATTAACAAATTGCCGAAATCAATTTATAAACCCAAAAGCGAATTTGTGTGCAGATGTGCTGCAAAGTGCAGGATGTGCAACGTTGACGTTGAAAGGTCGCTCGTAAATCACAGATTTCGTGTCTGCATTTCGCAATTCGATTCGATTCGCAGCCGCGAAGATAAACAAACACATTAAAGTTCTAACCGACTTTTGATTATTAAAATTACGTTGTATTAATAGCGCATGCAAGCCTTGATTCCATGCTCCTATAATTAGAAATTCCAAATGCACGAGAGATGAAATTACTCCAAGATTGTTTTCCGCGTCGTTTTACTTTTTAAATTATTACTGAATTGTTGTTATGAGTTGAGGTCAAAAGCGAGACGTAGAAGATATTGCGTTTTGGTGATAACGTTTCGCAAATCTAACAATACGATATTAATACACGGCAAAGTTTTAATTAAAACGTCAGAAACAGAGATTTGAGCTCGGTGCTTGTTGTGTGTATCAACGGACTACGGACATGACTGTTGTTAGATATTATTAAACATATAAATACAAATTTCATTCCTGGATTGATTCAAATACACGACAAAAAAGGCTTTTATAATTTATTCAAGTAATTATTATATTTAATTACCTAAACTTCATAAATAGCTTCATTTTATTTCTAGTAATTTCAAATTTGTCGTTTTAACATAATTTGAATTTAGAATATGCATAACGTAATAAACTTATGAGTTTAGTTTAAAATATATTTGTAGGTTAAAGTTTTGACTCTTGAAACTTAAGTGTTTGCCACTCTTGTATACATAAAACCACTCTACTGCAATTGTAGAGCATGGACAACATCGAAATAATTTGCATCAGAGTATTATGCACTTGCTGGAACGCTAGAGTTAGAAGTTTTGAATAGTTTTAAACGCCATTTGTACACTGGTTTTACGTTTGCATTTCACAGCTGGTAGTATTCTAGTTTTTGGTGGTTTTATTACATTCTAGTTTGGTCTAACACTCGCCGAGAAAACCATCCGAATGCAGCGAGTCCTGCGGT